GGTGGAGATGCTCTTAGCTCTGCTCCCTGACCACTTGACCATGTGCAAGTTTCAACAGCCGCATGTGTTCGATCTGTACCAACCTGCCTAGTGTACGCAGCACCGACTGGTGGCGGTCCAGCTCCGAGGTAAAACTTCGACGCCCGTAGTTTCCCGTGCATATGCCGGTTGACACCGAAGACCGAACGCACGCACGGACCGCGACATGTTCGCCGCTGCCATGTTCGAGGCTCGTACCTCCGCTATCCGCGCCATCCCATGATCCCATCCCACCCTCCACGCCACCACATGCCGCGTCACATGGCCGATCCCCGCCACCACATGCCGCGTCACATGGCCGATCCCCGGGGGAAGACCCGGCCACGTGACGCGCCCCGACAGGCGTGAACTGGCCACCATTAATCATTCTGGCCGGCCACGCCTCGTCACCCCTTCCTTCCTTCCTTCCTTCCTTCCTTCTCCACCGTGGGACACCGTGACCCACGCGGCGTTATCGCCGGCGCCCGGCCGTGTCAGCCAGCCACTGGAGCACCCACCACGTCCGTGCCGCCAGCCTCGACCACGCGCGCGCACCGCCAGAAAAGATGCCCTCCGCCCCGCCCCGCCCCACCGCGCCGGCAATTATTAGGACGCACGCGCCCACAAACACTGCTTGAAGAGCGTGCCGCTGCCCTGGCATTACTACTAGCGAGTAGTAGCGAGCTGCCAGTGGCCAGTGGGTGGGCGTGAACAGTGACCAAGCAAGAGTGTGGGGTCGGTCGGTCGGTCGGCGGCGAGATGGCCGCGAGGTTGGTGGTGGTGCTGCTGCTGCTCGCGCTGGTGGCGGCGTGCCATGGCGTGAGTGCTGCGGCCGCGGGGGCGTCGCCGCGCCGGCCCAACTGGCTGGGCGGGCTGAGCCGAGCGTCCTTCCCCAAGGGCTTCGTCTTCGGGACGGCCACGTCGGCGTACCAGGTGGAGGGCATGGCCAACGCCGGCGGCCGCGGGCCTTCCATCTGGGACGCCTTCGCCCACGTCCCAGGTGATTACCTCGTCTCTCTCCTCTCGTCTCGTCTGTCTCTTGCTTGGCACCAGCGAGTTACCAGCGGTCAGTGAGTCGTGTCAACTAAACGCTCGACTTAGAATCTTGAACTGAGATCCAAAGTGTGTTCTTCTTCTTCCTCCTCGACTTCATCCATCCACACTGACATTTTCTTTGTGTATGTTGCAACGAGCAGGAAACATTGCCGGAAATCAAAATGCAGACGTTACTACGGATCAGTATCATCGCTACAAGGTACTACCACCACATCCAAAATTACACTGCATAGATCACACTTCACAAAATTGGGGCACTTGACATCTTCCAGTGCAGTACTACTTTTTTTCTTTTTTTTTTTGAAACAGAGGCAAAAGCTTTGCCTCATTCATTAATTAAGAAGGAAACGGACAAGAGTTTGCAACACATTGTGAAAGAAAAGAAAAATGAAAAAATATTGTATCATGGTCATTACTCTCCCGGCATCAGAAGACCCACATTTTTTGCCCCGGCGGTGATCCAAAGCACCATATATGCATAGCTTTCTTTTGGGGAAACATTGATATTCACACCGCGACTGTCGAGAAAGAACTCCGAGGGCCTTACGATGTGTTCTTTTATGTTGCCACAGGAAGATGTTAATCTCATGAAAGGATTGAATTTCGATGCCTACCGGTTTTCTATCTCATGGTCCAGAATCTTCCCAGGTATTCTGAATTTGACTGCAACCGTAGCATTATACTAATATATAGCTCCAATATTATTCTGAATGAAACACAAGTGTTACCACCCTTATTCATCTTTGACTTGCGCAGATGGTGACGGAAAAGTTAACCAAGAAGGCGTCGCGTATTACAATAATCTGATAAACTACCTTCTTCAGAAAGGTGTAGCATATGACTAATCATCTATTTCCTTTTTTGCGTGGAACTAAGCGTCTATTTCAACCTGTGAAACTTCCATATGGGAACCTGAATACATTAATATCTGAATGTTTCCATGAAAACTGAGCAGGCATTACTCCTTATATCAATCTTTACCACTACGATCTCCCTCTGGCGCTTGAGAAGAAGTATGGAGGCTGGTTAAATGCAAAGACGGTGTAAGTCAAACTAATATTCTATCTTTCTATGTACTCATGTGTTACATCTACCTTCTCACTTTGGAGTACTTGTAGTTTGGAATTAGAAGCTAGCATAGATACTGAGAAAGCTAAAATGGTTTAGACAAATTACCAGTTACTCTGTGACTCTGTGTACAGTAATAATTGTCTAAAGTGACTTTGCGTATTGAGCATGAACATTATGCATGTGGAAGTTTTTGTATGTTTACCCGAAAGTAAAATGCACAACATACAAGCACTACATGTTTTTCTAGGTAAATACAGCATGCTATATCTCGTATGTACCTCTGATATGAAAGGTTGAAACAATGAGCAATGCATGACTATCTTCATAACATTTGTTCTGTAGGGGACTGTTTGCAGACTACGCTGATTTTTGTTTTAAGACCTTTGGCGATCGTGTAAAGCACTGGTTTACATTCAACGAACCAAGGATAGTTGCGCTTCTTGGTTACGACGTAGGGTCGAATCCTCCTCAGAGGTGCAGCAAATGCGCTGCCGGTGGGAACTCGGCAACAGAACCTTACATCGTTGCTCACAATTTTCTCTTAGCACATGGTTATGCAGTTGCAAGATACCGGACTAAGTATCAGGTATTTTTCTACTTGAATTATAAGAGTAAATCATACTATGCTCAGCTTTCAGGAGTATAGTATCTGAATAATTTTTTTAAAAAAATGTAGGCAGCTCAGAAGGGGAAGGTTGGAATAGTTCTGGACTTCAACTGGTACGAGGCTCTTACCAACTCAACTGAAGACCAAGCAGCAGCTCAAAGAGCCAGGGACTTCCATGTTGGCTGGTAAGCCCTCTGACAAAGCATTTCATCAGATAGATAAACAAAAATATATACCGATGCTTATGCCATCAACGTTGCGTTGGATGCAGGTTTGTCGACCCGCTAATAAACGGGCATTACCCACAGATAATGCAAGACCTTGTGAAAGAGAGGCTGCCCAGGTTCACTCCCAGTGAAGCTAAATTGCTCAAGGGCTCAGCAGACTACATCGGGATCAACCAGTACACGGCTAGCCTCATGAAGGGCCAGAAATTGCTGCAGCAGACGCCGACCAGCTACTCGGCCGATTGGCAGGTCACATATGCCTGTGAGTTTCTTGCCTCAAGCTCTAGGTTTTACATCATTGCGTTCCGATGAATTAATATTGTCGGTTCACCCTTTTAATCATCGCCGAAATCTTTGCAGTTGAGAGAAATGGCAAACCGATTGGACCAAAGGTATGTATGTAGTAGCTCTTAGCTGCAACCTTTTTCAGCTTCATTTTCTCAGACCATATTTGCACTGCTGAGTTCAAAATTGACATGATCAATCGTCGTCGATGCGTGAACTCTTGCAGGCGAATTCTAACTGGCTTTACATCGTCCCGTCGGGGATGTACGGATGCGTGCACTACCTCAGCCAGAAGTATGGAAACCCACCTATTGTCATAACTGAAAACGGTACTGGATAAATACTTGATCCATTTTTGAAGCTCCATATCATCTTTGCTAGGTTTCATGCCGCCTCTCGATCATCTTGTCATGCACATACCAACCTTATAATTACCATCATGTTGCCAGGAATGGATGAGCCGGGGGGCCTCACCCGGGAGCAGTACTTGCGGGACGCGACGAGGGTCCGGTTCTACCGGAGCTACCTCGGCGAGCTGAAGAAGGCCATCGATGGCGGCGCCAACGTCCTCGGCTACTTCGCGTGGTCTCTCCTCGACAACTTCGAGTGGAGCTCCGGCTACTCCTCCAAGTTCGGCATCGTGTACGTCGACTTCAGCAGCCCCACCCTGGACCGGCACCCCAAGGCGTCGGCCTACTGGTTCAGAGACCTTCTGCAGCACTGATATGTTGTCATCATCTTCATCATCTTGCTGAGTTTCTGCCTACTGTTGTTCGAATGGAACCATAATTCAGACTTGAGAGCATGTTTTGCTCTGCCAAATGAGAATAAAAGTTGCATGATATTTTGAGCGTTGCATTTCATGTGTTCTTGGGCGATCGGCAAATTTAGCCAGGTGAGAAAACACCCCAAAATTAGGGGGTGCGACCCATGGCCTAGAGGGGGGAAAACGAGCTCATTCGCCGCTGTCCGCTGTCTAAGTTTGCCTTCCTCCGCTGTGGCCTCCCTCAGCCCAAGGGAAGGATCACGGCGAAACATGCATGAGCGAGGCGCGCGCCACTTTGCATGCCAGCCTCCACCGCACACGTACGCGCAGCCCCATCTCCACGGTCCTAAGCTCCGCCGGCGCGCCACCGCCGTCGCAGCATCATCGTCGTTGTCGTCGCCGTTGTCATGGCCGCGGGGCCGGTCAAGATCGTGGTCCTCGCCGTCTTGATTGCCGCGGTGGTGGCGACCAGCTACTTCCTCCGGTACCAGTGCCCCCGCCTGCCGTCGCCGTTCCTGCCCGGCGGCGCCGCGCCGAAGCTGCTGATCGTGGTGACCAACGAGCAGCAGGTGGGGGAGGAGCTGGACATGGCGGACGGCAACGTGCAGCTGCTGTGCCACGGCTACAGCGAGCACAACCTGAGCGCGCCCGTGTGGTCGGAGCGGGCCGAGATCCCCAGCGCGGAGGAGGCGCGCATGTCGATTCCGGCGGTGCGCGGCGACGAGGTGTTCGAGGTGCTCTGCTCCTACCGCGGCGCCAACCTGTGCTGGGCGCACGGCGTGCGCATCTTCTGGAACCCCGGCCACGACCTGCTCCTCTGCAGGGAGGACGGCGGCGGGTGCAAGGTCAGGTTCCGGGAGGACGGCGGCGTCGAGAAGCAGTACGGGACGCTGGGCAGCAACCACGGGATGGAGACGCAGCCGCCGATGTTCCTCGGCTTCGCGCCGGACTTCGACAACGCCAGGGACGGCGGCTGCGCCTCCTCCAGCTGCGTCGGCAGGACCGTCAACAGGGTCATCGGCGAGGAGAGCTGCTGCGACGACTCCTGCGGCGGGTGGGAGAAGGCAAACCCAAAGATGTCATCCTGACCTGATGATCCTCCATTGTAGAATACCTTCCTGGTTTCCTTTTTCCTGTATGTATGATGATGGTGTAGAGCTCCAGCTGATTCCAGTATGATGTAGACTATGCAATGAGATACTGATTAATAGGAGAACAGACACACTTGAATTTGACATGAAAATGGCTTAGGGTTCCTCTGCCCCCGTCGGCGCTGCCGCTGGTCCGCCTCATCTTCGTTGATCCTCGGGCCATGGAGGCACGGTGGACCCCGGCCCTTGCCGGCGGGAGGGATTCTACTTTGTGTTTTAGGTGTTTTTTTCATGAGGCAAGGTGGCGGCGGCGGCTCCGTGAAGGTTGAATAAGGTTGACTGTCGAGAGACACCCCTTTCGTCACCCCCCACCCCCCCGCGTCGCTCCCGCGAGCGACGGGGGAACCCTAGCCGCCGCCGCTCCTACCTTCCTTCTCTCCTCGCCGCTGCCGAAGCTCGTTGGCGGGCAAAGCCCGGCTGGCAGCGGCGGCGGCGGGGCCTCCTCTCCTCTCCGAGCGGTGGTGGGCGGCGCAAGACGGCCTCGTAGTTTCGGGGCGCGGCGCTTCGTGGGGCGCAGCGGCACTGGTGGATGCTGCCCCGGCTTGGAGGGTTGCGTGGTGTGGCCGGCGGGGATGTGCTACCGGTGGCGGAGGCGGCGTGAGCCTGGCGGTTGCCGGGGGCCAAAACGGGATCCGATGGCTCTCCCTCGACAGGCGGCGTGGGGGCTGGCCACGACCTGGCATGGTCGTGGCGCTGGGAGTGGGCCGCGGCAACGCGCGGTGGGCTACTGCAGGGGTGCCGCGGCTGGCGGTGGTGCGATGGCCCCTTGGTGATGGGCGCTCGGGGGCCCTCTTTGGCGGCTGGATGCGGACAGGGCGGTGGACGGGTGGCTACTATTGCCCCGCATGGAGCTGGCTAGAGGCTGTGGTGGGGCATCAGGGGTGGCGTGTGGGGAGGTTGCGGGAGGGATGGGTGGTCCCTCTACCTGTCATCGACGCAGGGGGCGTCGGTCCGGATATGCTTTGATCCTCTTCTCCTCATTTCCCCCGCCTAGCACCTCCGAGCTCCAGATTGAGTTGTTCGGGGCAGTCTGGTCACCGGCGGCTCTTTTGATGCTTGGATTTTGCCGGTCGGTTCCAAGTTTGTTCCTTTGTTGGTTTCTGGAGCGTCGGGATGCAGGGCGGTGACCTGGTGGCTGGAGCGGCGTGCTCGTGGGCAGAGCTCGCGGCTCAGTTGCGGGCTAGTCTCTATGGCCGTGTGGGCAGCATGGCTGTTGGTGCTTGTCCATCGGTGGTTGTGATGCGACATTTGTCCCCGGGACTGGCCGCAACCTGTTCGGAGTTGGAGTGTGTTTATCGAGGTGAATACCTTGCCTGGCTTTCCCGGGCCGACGGAGGCGGCATCCGTGGACGTCATCTTCTTGAAGGCTCCGTCGTGGTTACTCCATGTCCTCCTAGGTGCCCCGGATGAAAATTGTGATCCTCTAGATCGGGTGGTGGCGGCACTTCGGTGACGTATCCTTCTTGAAGGCATCACCTTGGGGCTCATAGATTGACAACGTGCGGCTTGGTCTCTTCTCAGTGGCTTGTGCTCAGTTGAGTGCTCCCTCAATTTTCTAGTGAGGCTTAGTGTGTATCTGTTGTTTACTTGAACTTGTTGTGGGAGTGTTAGCTGCTTCTTAGCATCTTTGTATCTTACCTTGGGTGCTTGTGATGTTGTATCGCTCGTTGCAAGTTGGTTGTTGCTTTACATATAAAGCAGGGTGAAAACCTTTTTCGGTAAGGTTGAATAAGGTCTAGCGTTGTTGAAAGACGTGTGAAGATGTGTCTCTAGCAGATCTCGATCCATGTTGATCTTCAATGAATCTGCTTGGATCCGGTCTTCATTTTTACGCGATGCCTGGCGCATGTCTAATGCGTCCATGCCGTGATCCTCCCAGACGCCAGCCAGCTCAGCGGCCGTCCTCCCTGCTTGCCTCGCCACCCTCGCCGCTAGTGGTCGCCCTCGCAGCATACGTCCTCGCCGGTTCCAGCAGGACGCGGTCCCCCCTCTTAGCAAAACGCCGCATCTTGTAGCACGCAACACCTAGCCGCCGCCGTCGCAGGACGTCCATCGCAACACCACCGTGCCTCTGGCTGCAGCTCTCAGCATCATCGCTCCACACCAGGTTGAAGTTTTTTCTCACGCCGGTTGAAACTTTTGTGCACACCGGTTGAAGCTTTTTTCCAACAGGCTTGGTCGCTTTTGTTGTTAGTCGTAGCCTTTTCAGAGCGTGGTTTGCAGCTCTCTGGTCTCTCGGTTACAATCGTTTGTCGTTGCCGCCCACTTGTAGCAAAGAAGGTGATGTGGTCATAGCAAAAACCAACTGTGGTTCCAACTTGCTTATATGCAGCAAAAATCAACTGTGGTTCTAGCTCTTGCTTCGGCCGGTTGTAGCAAAAAGAAATTACTGCCTCCAACATCGTCGTCCACTCGCCGGTGTTGCAACCTTCGCCATGATTATCCATGGAGAAACTCATTGGCATGGTTGAAAAGAAAGAAAAAAAGCACTATGGGGCAGCACTTCCAAAGGTGGAGACGATGCGCTTCAGGATCGCACTAGTCTCACGCGGCCGGCCGAAGTTTCAGCCGGTCAGCTGCTTTTGGTGCTCTTTATACCGCAGGTGCAGATGATAAAATACTCCCTCCATCTCAAATGAGTTGACTTAGATTTGTCCAGACACATATACCTCCGTATCTAGATAAATCTAAAACAAATAATTTAGAACGGAGATAATAGATCGGAAGTTAAAAGACACACTAGAATGAATCCCAATTCAACCTTTCCCGCATGACAACAACAATAGGTAGCTTACAACAACTCAAATTCAGGCAGACATTTGCCATGTTCTACCACTAGGGCAGACAAGTTGCTAAATTGAACCATAGAGACAGACAGAGTCAGTTCAGCCAACAGCCAAGCAGGAGTTCCTGGGGAAAAAACATGGGCAAAACAGGAGGTAACAACCAAGGTTCAGTACATGAGTCATCATTGTGATTTAGGATAACATCTCGACGTTGTTTAATAGAGGAATTGCGATTGTATCGTCTCAGACTTCCAAAGCATAGTATGTAGCTGACCCGCGCCCATCATCCAATGGATCTGAAAATAGAACAGGAGAGCTTCAGAAATCATGGAGCAGACAATAGAATTACAAGCTAATTGCATATTGAGACGAAACTCACAGCTTCTTTGAGGTGCTCCGGAGCAAATAGTCGCGCCAAATTCAGATTTAACCGCGACTGCCTCAGGCATGTGATTGATTGGTTGCTAATCAGAGTCTTCATAGACACCCTCGTCGTCATCAAGATCATCAAAGGAGCGAATGTCCAGCTGATAGCGGAGGATGCCGCCAATGCCACCAAACCCTCTACAGAACTGCGAGCCCTCTTGAGATTTATTGGTAACAAACTCAAGGGTGCACCCAAACTTTTTGTATTCATTAGCAAACCATTCCAGAAGTGAGGTCTTCTCCTGGACTTCTAACTCAGCATTGGTAGATGGATCACGGAAGTTGCTCTGGTCGGCTTCACCTTCTTTGTTCAGATGCTTAATGATAATTTCTCCAGTTGCACTGTGCTTAAGCACAAACCGATTGACATCAAGGTTTTCCCACACCATCAAAGTTTCAACAGCACCCATTTCAAGAGCCTTCAGGGTGTCATCAACTCCAAAGACATACTTCCCAGTATCTTGACTAATCTCTTCAAAGTACTTCCCGATCAACTTCTTCTCTTGTATGAACTTCACATTTGCTAGAATTTCAGCTGATAACTCAATGGCCTGGTTGAAACCGCTCTCACCACCATATGAAACATCAACCACATTAAGTATCTTGCACTGAAGGCGCTGATCAAACATGTCAGATTGGCTCAGTTCTGTTTTAAAATCAGCAGAACCAGCCAATATTAGTCCTGCAACATTAGGCTGGCTGGTAGCTGGGTTGATGAAGAACTGAGTAGCAAGTTCAGCTGTTTTCCGAACATAATTGTGGCGCTTCTCCATCCGAAGGCGAGCAAAACGCAGAGCAGATTGCCCTCCTCTTCCATGCTTCTTGGGGAGATCCACACTGAACTTGTGAAGCACTTCACGAGTATTGCCACTAAGTGTGCCAAAAAGAGTTCCATTACCATCCATAATGATGAAGCCAAACTTGTCATCGGATTCCAAGAGCTCACTCAATGCTTCAGTGTGGAATTTATTGTCACAAAGGTACAAGGACGCATTGATGGGCTTGAATGGCTCAAAATCGATTGTAACCTTCTTTTCCTTGCCATCGTCAGTAACAATTGTTCCAGTGTAAAGAACTAGTCCATTTGGGGGAACCCTGTTATACAGCTTCAGCCTCTGCTGCGCTGAGGTGATGGCTCCCAAAACAGATTGACGATTGACTCTACTCTTTATGTTTGAAGCAGTACCATATTCATCACCCAACATCTTTGTCACACGCGAGACTTGATCACGTGGAGGCATAATCAGAGAGATCATGCTTGTGCCATTGCCTCTAGCAGACTCGAGTCCCTTGATCAGCTTCTTGATCTTCCACATCTCAATATTCTTGTCGGTTTCATGACTATCAGACATCTTGACAAAAGTTGGGTACTCAGTTCACCTGCGGAATACAGAAGCTACCAAGTGTAAGAAACGGTCAGAGTGATGTAAGTGATGGAGTCTTGACTTCAGATTTTGCATGGAAAAAAAAAGCGAGGCATTCAATGGAATACGACAACGTATGTCAACCTATTCCAGTAGCTGCACAGTCACTTTACTTGAACGCTGAAATAATTAAATCCATCCAACATGCGATCTACGTTAACTGGAAAAAAAATGGCAGGTAGCGAAGTGGATAACCACATAAGCTCTACAATTTAATCGAAAATGCCAGCAACGGTAAAAATACCATATATGAGTCGACCAATTCGGAAATAACCCAGGAATCACGTGAAAGCGAGCCATTCAATGCAATACGACAACGAATGTCAACCTATTCCAGTAGCCGCACGGTCACTTTAGTTAAACACTGAAAGAATTAAATCCAACATGCGATCTACGTTACCTGAAAAAAATGGCAGGTAGCGAAGTGGATAACCACATAAGCTCCACAATTTAATCAAAAATGCCAGCAACAGTAAAAATACCATATATGAGTCGACCGATTCGGAAATAACCCAGGAATCACGTGACAATTCTTTTTGAACGAAAAAAACAAAGCGAGCTCTGTGTATCATATCAAGTGAGAAACGTTACAACTTACAAAAAGCAGAAAGCGTGTGGCCTTCAAGGTCCTCAAGATCGATTCTAAACACACGCTACGTGGCAGTTACGTGCGCACCGCCATGCAACGTCCGGCTTCGAAAAACCTCCAAAAAGCTCAAGATCCAGAAGATCTAGAACTGCAGGCTACTTCTTACTACTACACAGCAATAACGAATAGCGTGTGCTCGAGAACAGGGAATACGATAGACCAAGCCTCCACCAACATACACATAGAACTGTACCACTGTGAGTCAATTCTAATCTAGAAGGTGCTTCTCATCGAACATAGCCTCAAATCTAGCCAGCGTCCAGGCAAGATAATACTTAAGCGATGTAAATATAGGACCGATGAGACACAAACCGATGAGAACATGCGTATGCAAAGGGGATGGGGTACAAGATGACGGTCGCTACCAATCCGCAGAGGCAGAAACGCGAAGAACAAAAACCCTAATAAGCAACTAATCCGGCCAGATCTCTAAGCGTGGTAGAGCTAAGAACAACGCCGCAGCAAAACGGAAGCCTGGCCGAATCTAAGCCCGGAGCCGGCTGCAGGGGGACGGATCTAGGGTTCTATACGGCGTGGCGGCGCGCGCCACGCCCCAAATCTAAGTCCAAGTTCTTGGGTTCAAGTAATCCGACCGTGGATGACTGGACGGCATACCTCAGGAGTCGATGCCGGGGATTGCGGACGGGGTGGGGCGACGAGGTGGAACGGCGACGGCGGCGGCGGCGGCGGGCGGAGGGGGGCTGTGTGTGTGGGAAGGGAGGCGTCGGCGTTGACGCTAAAGCCACGGCACAGCACAGCGGCGATGGACTCCAGACGGATTTTAGAGCGCTGGGTCGGGTCGGGTTGGAGCTTTGGGTAGGGCCAGGAAAGTAGCAGGCCGGGCCGGGCCGGGCTCGGGGGAGGGGGTTCGATCAGTCGACACCGGCGAGAGCAACTTCAAATTATGTTCTTCTAAAAAAAAAGAAATTCAAATTATGTCGCCATTTCTTCCTTTTTTTTGAGACAATTTTTTTGCGAGAAAACTTCCAATCTATTCATCAAATATCGAGGTAGTACAAAGAACACCAGAAGTAAGAATTACATCTAGGTCCGTTGACCACCTAGCGACGACTACAAGTATAGGAGCGAGCCGAAGGCCCGCCGCCGTCATCGCCCCTCCCTCAGCGGAGCCGGACAAACATTGTTGTACTCCCTCCGTCCCAAAATAAGTGTCTCAATACAAAGTTGTACTAGGCTTGAGACACTTATTTTGGGACGGAGGGAGTAGTAGACAGTCGGTAAGTCGTCGTGCTACGTCCCCATAGGACCAGCGCATTAGAACAGCAACCCGTCGTCGATGAAGAGAATCCTAGATCGAAAGAATCCAACCTGCAGACATGTAGACGCAAACGAACGAAGACCGGAGCCAAGCGGATCCGCCGAAGACAAACGTCGATCGGATCCCACGAGATCTCCGGAGACACACCTCCACACGCCATCCGACGGTGCTAGAAGCATCGCCAAGACGGGGGCTAGGCGGGGAGGACCTTATTCCATCTTCAAGAAGCCGCCTCCGCCTCGTCTTCTTGAGCATATGGCACAAACCCTAACAAAACTCCAAAAAAACACCTAAAAGCGGAGCCCTCCCGCCGTCAAGGACTGGGATCAACCGCGCCTCCATGATCCAAGGACCATAGGAGATGAGGCGGACCAACGACGACGCCGGCGAGTGGCGGGGAAATCCTAGTTGAGAGATCCTAGGAAGAAGGAGTGAAGGGGTAGTTGAGACAAAATATGTCGCCATTCTTCCTTTCATCTCTCTCGTTTAGGGATTTATAAGCTTAAACCCTACTCCAACTCCTCTTTCATCTTGGGGTCTCTTCATCCACACTATATTTCTGCCAAATGTGTAGGGGGCAACTATAAGGGCTCTCCATTCCTTCCTGAATCCCGTTGGTTGGTATATATCGTTGTCCCCCGTTATCCACTGATGGTGGACAACCGTCGTTTCTTGTCGCAGTCCGCCACCTCCCGCCATCACTTGTAATGTTTCACCACCAATGAGTTTTTATTTT